TCACTACCTTCTTATTTCCTTCCCATACTTCTCCGGCGTACTCCAGCGGCGGTACGATTACGCTCTTCAAAACCGTCAATTTGATGCGTATATCAAGGTGCCGGTTTGCGAGTATTGGGTGCAGCTTCCCTGCTCGTGCTTTGCCCTTTTCCGCTACCTTGGACATGTGTGCATTCCACGAGCAATCTTTTGCGATCTCTACTCCGAGGTATGTGTACTGGTCGACTACTGCAATCTCCTCGATCCCCCACTTCCATCTATGTTCTACTGGTTCCTCCCTGCCCTCGTTGCATACCATGACGGCACTCTTCGTAACGTTGGCAGACAATCTCCACTTATCAGCAAACTTCTTCGCCGCGTCAATTTGCAGTTGCAGTCCCTCAGGGGTGTCCGACATACCAACAAAGTCATCCGCAAACAGCATTCCTGACACCGAAGTTTCCGTGTCCCCTACTTTTACTCCCTTCCGGACTGCCTCTACGACTTCCAACAGATCGTTGATGAACACCTGGAACAATGTTGGGGACAGCGTGCAACCTTGTGGGACCCCTTGCTCAATGTCGAAGAATTTAGACAGTTCTCCGTCTAGCATGACCGCGCTTTTCGTACACTCTGTCATCTTCTTCAGCACCCTCCACATTTTCCCCTTGATCCCGTACTTGGACAATTGTTTCCACAGCCCATTTCTCCATACGGTATCGTATGCCTTTTTCACGTCCAGGAAGAAGCAGTACGTCCGCTTGCCCGCCCTCTTTCTACCTTGGATGATTCTCCCTACCGTGAATGCGTGGTCTACGCACCCCCTCTTCTGTCGGAAACCTGCCTGGCCCTCACTAATGCTACGTTTCTTCTCCAATACTCCCACTATCCTATCGTTCAGCAGCTTACAGAACACTTTTCCTACTGTGTTCAACAGTGTGATACCCCTGTAGTTTCCTGGGTCAGTCTTGTCTCCTTTCTTAAACAAGTTCACAACCACTCCTTCCCTCCATCTACTTGGCGCATACTCGTTTTTCCACACCCAGTTGTACAGCAGTACCATCAGCTGGATCATCCCCTTGCCCCCAAACTTCATGAACTCGTTTACTATCCCATCCGCCCCTGCTGCTTTGTGGCACTGCAGCTTGTTCACACACGCCTCAACCTCGTCCTCAGTGAACTCCTTTTCTAGTTCTACGTTCCCAACGTCTGCCTTCGATGTCTCTTCTTCTTTCTGGGCCCATGCGTCCACCTCCTTCTTAAACACTTGGTCAAAATCTTCATTCTCCGAAGGCACTCCAAGTCTCTTGTAGTGTCCTGCTAGAACTTCCCTTTTTCCCTTCCCACTGCTGACTAGTCCACCGTTCACACTTCGCAATGTTGCTACCCCTGTATCCCCCCCTTGCGCGGTCTTTTTTACCATCCCACTAATCCCTTCCCACATCTGCTTGACGTTCCCCTCCAGGCCTCCGTTGGCCTTCTGCACTACTTCGTCCCAAATGCTCTTTTTCTTCTTTTTCACTAGTCCCTTCACCTGTTTCCTCTTGGCCCTATACTTTTCCCAACTCTCTTCAGACCCCTCACCCAGGTACTGCTTGAAGACTTCTCTACGTTCCCCTATTTCTTCTTTCAGCTCGTCATCCCACCACTTAACCGATACCCCACATCGTACCACCTTCTTTCCCACTACTCTCTCTGCCGTTGTGTTCACTATGGACTCCCATCCTTCAATCACCCTGTCCCCTGCTGCTTGTACGTCTACCTTTCCGTCTTCGACGCTTCTCAGCAGTTTCCTGAAGGGTTCTACACTACCAGCCAATCCCTTCTGGAATTCATCGCGTGTCCCCTCGTCTCCCAAACGCTCTACTTTCCACCGGAACACTTTCCTCTTTTTCTTACTCTTCGTCTTTCTAGATCGGTCGATGTTTGCCCATATGAGGAAATGGTCGGTCGAACCTATATCTATCGCACTTACGTGCAGCTCCGGGACCTGTGTGCTCCCCCTATCTACCAGGATGTAGTCGAGGATCGAGTATTCATTGCAAACTGCCCTCTGCCTGGTGAACTCTGGCTTATCGCTTTCCCTCCTACCGTTCAACACCATCAGCTCGTTGCTTCCCAAGAATTCAAGCATCCTCACTCCGTTGTCATTCACTTTGTCTTCTCCGTGCTGCCCGATCGCCTGTCCTCTACTGCAAGCTTTCCCTACTCTGGAGTTGAAATCGCCCACCATGACAACTTCTCCCTTCCTACTGAACCTCTGGACATCTTCCCCAATTTGTCCGAAGTTCTCCTGCGCCTTGCTTGCGACTTTCTTCGACGACGGTGGGACGTATACGTTCCCTAGAAACAAATCTTTCTCACCCCGCTCCCCAGGTATCTTAAGCCATAGGCTTTCCTCGAACTCCGTTTTCACCACTACTTCCACCACGTCATACAAGTGTTCCTTGACCAGGAATCCGACTCCCCCCTCCCCCCTTTTCTTCGGGTCTAAGCCCTTTCTTGCCTTCCCTACCCACCGGTACTTCCCTATTTTGCTTACCACGTCCCCATCCTTCAGTTCCCACGTCTCTTGGATCCCCACTACATCCAGATCACGGAGGGGGGGGCTTGTTTTACAACGTCGTTGCCAAGCGACGAAAACCCAACCCCGATGGCAAACACGGGGGGGGAGAGGGGGGGGATAAACGCATTGCTCACCTGGTGATGTCGCCAGCATAACTAACATGGGGAGTCGGCAAGACCTGCGTTAGTGCCACCAAACTCAACCCGTATTGCTCGCACGCATTCTGCCATGCGAAACTGGGATGCACTTATGCATACGGATGTAGATATGTGACTTTTCTTCCGTGACGAGCGATGAGTCTGTCAGGTGGAAGGTGTGACCACCGTACTTGTTATAGCACAGCATTTTCGGGCTTGTTGTTGTTGTTGTTGTTTTTTTCCTATTTATTATGGCGACAGTCCCCCCATTTTTCGTGGTGAGATGTGTACTACACTTTTCAGTGTCTTTTTTTACAACTAGAACCATCCAGGGTCACACAAGAGAGGGGGCTTTTTTCTTCTTTTTGTTTGTTTTCGTGCCCCACCTTCCTCCTGCGGTGCGTGCTGAATTCTATTTTTATCGCGAGAAGGGTCCAGCCGCCCCTTTCCCTCGTCAACGTGCTAACGCCGAAGTTTGGTACCCACGAGAGCTTGTTCAGCTATATTTCGCTTTCACCCGCAATTTTTGTAATTTTTTCACCCCATGGGGATTCGAACTCACGACCTTTTTGCGACTAGCGGTTTACGAGGACAATACCACTAGACCACCGGGGCGACCGGCTCGTGTGTTGCAGAGAGAAACCTAATTCGAAATCGACCTTGGCTTAGTCTAGACACAGTCGTGAGAGTTGTTCGTTTGAGGGTCGACTCGTTTCCGTGTGTAACCAGGAAGCACAAATTAAGACTTGAGCCCAACTCAGTAACTAACAATCTTACTGTAGCTCAAGTGGTGGGGTGGCTGAAGATGGTGTACCCCCCACAGAATATCACACCTTCGATGCGACGGCCTACTCTTGTTACGTTGTAAAACCGTATGGCTGATGATGCCAACCAGCGCAAAGCATGGCTGCCCTTCCCCCTTTTGATTCCCTGCCCCCCTGGTCGCTCGTGGGGTTCAAAATGCATCCAGGTTCTTGCACATCGCGCTACTTTTGGAGCACATCGTGGCGCTCATCGCTATCGCCTCCACTGTCCTCAAGTACGCTCTCCCGGTGACGGCGTCGAACTGCAATGCAACTCACAAGGTTTCGACCGCATTCGCCATCTTGTTCGATGTGAGAAAAAGTTACTCCGTAGGATCTATTTAGTAGTAGTGGGGGTTCCCGCACAAAGCCAATTTCACACGCTTTGTTGTAGGGCGACTTCCATATTAAGACCGACTTGTTCGGGGACCGCCAGTGTGGCTGATTGGTTGGTTGAGAACTGGTGTCTCTCGCATGGTAAAGAGGACACCGTTCTGCTTTCCCGGAAGGAGAATAATATGTCTTGCCCCCTGCTACCGCGTGCAATAGAACAGTGCTGTATTCGTCGCATTTCGTGCTGATGGTGATTCACGTTCACTTAGATCGCGATATATATCCAAAGAGTCAAGCCAGAATTAACATGAACCATGTGTGACCCAGATTCCCAGTTGATAAACCGCTATCTCATCCAACTATTGCTCGTGGCTTCACACCTACTTACCTCGCGGTTGTTCCATACCATGGTACGGTCAAACTACGAAAACAAGCGTATTTCTAATACCGTAGTTTCTTCGTGGTTACTGTTTTTCTTTTGGTGCGTCTTGCACCCCTCTTCTCACTCCTTACTCCGTTGTCAGGCGAGTCTTCTGACGTTTCTCCTCTTCAAGGTCGATGTGACTAACGGCATCAGAAAGCTCTCCTGCTGGGAGAAGGGCGTGATCTGGATATGCAGGGCATTCGCGTGGATTTATCTGTGAGAGAGAGAGAGCGAGAGAGAGAGAGAGAAAGAGAGAGAGAGAGAAGGAGAGAGAAAAATGCACAGAGAGAGAGAGAGCCTCCTTGTGACCCGTTCTTTCGTGTTCCAACCCTTAGGTTCCAACCCTTAGGTTAGGTTTAGGGTTACGTTTGCCTGGCAGGAATTTCTCGTCGTGGGGCATGGTGTGGCAACGGTGAACGTGTACTACTGCTGATGTTCTCTCGCTGCGGTAGAAATTTGGGCTTGATACCATTGGGTGTTCATATGGGACGTCATATGGGAAGTCCCATGGGAAGTCCCATATGAATTCCCAATAATGCAAGTACCAACAGTTATATGCAGGTCGCCTCCGAAATGCGACGCGAGCTTGGTAATGATCGTGCTGTGATCGATTTTTCCCCAACAACTGTTATCCTTGCGGTTTGCGGTGCAATCCAATGTTCTTGCGGAGCAGGCCTTTGGCGTCGATCTTCGTGAGCGCCACCTACCCCGGTGGTACTAACGAAGAGGTGGGTACAAGAGTGATTCACATCAAGCACATGGTACGGGTAGTACTTAGCAAATATCTACCAGGTACATTTGTATGTGTCTTGCTTTTTGTCATGGTAGTCATGTGCCTGTCACAATCACAGGGTTGGCTCAGGAGCAGAGATTCGATCGTCGATTCCTCGAAGAAACCAAAGACAGACGTTAACAGAGTACAACTGTACGCCAGAACATCCTAGTTGTGGTACGCACATCATGTGGTGGCAGCAACCTCCTACAATCTCCCACACTAGTGACAGTTTTGATAAATCGCCCATGGGCTACCCATGGGTCACCCATGGGCCGTCCATGGGCCGTCCATGTGCTCTTCATGGGCCGCCCATTGGCCGCCCATGGGCATGCCCATGGGCGGCCCATGGGTAGCCCATGAAGTGCCAACAACCTAGAACTTCGCCACCGACCTATCGACCTAGAACTTTGCCACCAGCGCCAACCTAGCACGTATCGTGTGGGCTTGGGGTTAGGGTTAAGGTTGGCGTTAGGGTTATTTGCCGTTATAGTGCCCGTTCCAAAGCACCTTATCTATTGTTTAGGAGTAACCTGTTCTCATTAGCCGCCAATGGGCTTCCCATGGGTTGCCCATGGGCCGCCCATGGGATGCCCACGGGCTACCCATGGGCAAGCCCATGGGCGACCCATATGGGCTGCCCACGGGTGACCCATGAGCGACCCATGGGAGTCCCATGGGTCGTTTGGGAAAACTGTAGAAAGTGTGGGAGCCCCATCTCCTATGTACTTGGATTGTTCATCTTCCCGACGTCGTCGTGTGGTTGGCCTCTTGATTCATGTGCAGGGCACGTTTTGCGAGAACGGTTTCAAGAGGGACGAAGACGTGAACTACGAGCGCGAGGCTAGCGACAACGCATACGGGTACGCCGTCACCAACGCGATGCTGTTGGTCCAGGTGAGGGGTCGATCGAAAACAGAACCTAGGCCAAGCAAGAAATCTTGCAAACATTTTGAGGTTCTTGAGGTGAACAGCAATGCGGTCTTCTTTCCCTGCCCCCCGCCCGCTTTCCCTTACCGGAGTGGTTACGGTTAGAGTAAGGATTGGCTTTTGTGCGAGCGGACTGGCATGCGATCTGATCCGATGTCGACACGTCTTTCGGTTGTTATTTTGTTATTTTCCCGCCGTCATCAGTACGTGCTGCTGCTGATCCTGTTCGTGAGGCCCCTCATGGTTCGTCTCGAGGGCGCCCAGTCCGGAGGGGCGGTCTACCGCAGCGTGGTGATCAGAAACATATCGTGCACGGTAGCCGTGGTCGTGTCCTACATCATCACCACCATTGTCACGGTCATCGCCCTGCTGCGACAGCACCCCAACGATACCGCGGTATGTGTGTATGTGGTACGGTACGGAATTCCCTGCGTTGTTGCGTTTTTTTTTGTTGGGAGCGTTTAGACACACTTTTCTCTCAAAAACAAGTTACCATCACTGCATACATGCAGTAGCGGCTATGGTTTAAGCGAGATTATTTTTAGGGAAAATCGGATATAAGAGTTGTGTTTTTACTTGTCCCGATCATGAGAAATACATGAACCACATATTACACAGGCAGCGGTTTAAGAGAAAATCACATTCATCGAGTGGTTTTTGCTTGTCCCAACCCTCTCTTATACATACCGTAGCCGCTACTGGAATTGTTTTCCCGCGCAAACGACAGTCACGACGCGGTCAACGTGAATGGTTGATGGTATTATTTGCAGAAAATTCGTCACAATCAGCCCATCACGTGATACCCAAACTCCACTATTTCACGGAACGTTGGCTATCGAAACAGGATGACTTTGGAGCTGCGCAAAAACGCAATTTTTGTTTTTTCCCGGCATTACCATTGTTACTCTAGGATACTGTATTCAGTTCAGTGAGAGCTGCGGTAGAATGGACATAATAATGGAGAAGAAGAACGGGGAAAATCGTTCATGTCACCAGAGTCGCACACAGTTTCATCGCCACTCTTCGGGTTAGTATGCATATGAGGCAACAAAAACACCGCGAAAGATATACCGTAGAGAAATATCGCACCGGCGCCACATACTGTTGGGAGCTGTTCGGGCATGAGGTGATACGTGCAAGGCTGCTTGCTCCGGCGCTGCTTCCAAACCACTTACAGTAAGAAATGTTTAGTTGACGTGTGTAACCCTTTTGGGTAGTTGTTATTCATTGTCCACCCCGGATCCGACTTTCTACTGAGGTGGCGGCAATGGTCGAAGCCAGCCACGAGCTCAGCAGCAGGGCACCGTTCGAGCGACATTATTTCGCCTGCATGCTATAGGCATTGCGGGGGAGATATGGGGGGTGGTATCATGCATCATCAGCCGCGCCCACGACTCCGTTTCTATTTTCTCGTTCCCACACGGGAGTTCAATCACGTGTAGTGCGTTGGTTTAATCACGTTTAGTGCGTTGGGTGGTGGAGACGGTTACGCATGGTTGCGCATAGATAGCCGAATACCAGCATCCCCGTACAGGTGACGTCATGATGAGGATGTACCGGTATGTATATAGGCACAGCAGTAGTAGCCCTCGATTGCTGTTCGCCTGCCGCTCGGTTGCAGAAACTGAGGCAGACGAGAAGTACAAATGGGAACACACAGCAGACTGCTGTCGAGCAGACTGGGCGAACTGCGTGATCTCATGTGGCGGCGTCCTATGCATACCTCCAGCATGACACACGACGGAGTTGCACCGCGCGCAAGTTGACACGGTGACGGCACGGCTGTCTACAGTTAGCGCCCGCAATTAAGAAATATTTTGTTAAGAAATTGAGGCTCACTTTTTCACGGAAAATAAGAAAATAGGCTTAAGAAACATAGCTCAATCTGGGTCACACAGTAAGAAATGTCTCAATAAGAAACACAGCAGCGACTGCTGCCCTACTACATAAGAAACGAGGGGTTACGGGGGAGTGTGTCGAATAAGAAACAAACACCACAGCTCTCTCGCTCTTTCCCCCTCTCCCCCTCCCCCCCCCCCCCCTCCCATAGTGCATTATTATTAGTTGTACGCCGAGGGGGGAGTGTTTTTTTTGCGGCGCCCCCTCCGGCCCCCTGCGGGCTCTGCGCTCTGCCTTGCTGGCCGCTAAAGCTCTGATTTTCGTTGTTGGCTGTCAGCGTGCGGGTGAGGCATCTTGCGGTGTTCATGCATTTGTTTAGTTTCAGCCCTCACTCATGAGGGGGGTACAAGACCTTGTAGCGATAGCAAGACGTTGCCGTTGATTACATTTCGCTTCTAGGGAGTGGCCTTACGTGCAGCCGTCGGTAGTGAGAATCGGGATTGAGTACGGGAGGCGAGGAAAGCAGAGAAATAAGAAATTGCCGATTTAAGAAATTCAGCAGGGTTTGGCTGCACGACAAAATAAGAAACATGATATATAAGAAACTGAACGACATACGCTGAGTTTATAGCCCACAATAAGAATTCTAGGCTGAACCTGAAATAAGCGTTTCTTAATTGCGGGCGCTAACTGTATTGATAACGATGGCGGTGGATGAGATGTGATTAGCCAGCCCTTGCTGAGATTTGACACGAAGACACATACCACGCGGGTTGTCAAGCCCCCAGAGTAGGTAGTAGTCCCCTCGTAGTTCCACGGCTGATCGCTCCAGCCGAGCGTGTTCCACCATCATCGGCTGATCGCTCCAGCCGAACGTGTTCCATCATCATCCTACCCTCGTCCCGCAGTACGAATTTCTGCTAGCTACGGGTCATTCGATGTAGCTAGCTGCTGCCCTCCTTCCCGCGTGACCCTCCGACGCGGGCTGCGTGTTACACACTGTGCATTCCTCAACACGTGGCCCTTGGTCCAGTAGACACGCGTCTATCAAACTCTTGATGCGGAAGCAGCGAGGCAGCAGCATGAGAACTCCGTGAGACGTTTCTGTAAGACCCCAGAAAACCAACCCAAGACAACCCAACCAACACGCCTCCGGGGCGGCACAACAAGAACCCAAATATACAACCATAGATCTGGGAGATGTTCCGAATTCTTCCGTGCACAATAATCTACAGTTTATTCGGTCTTCGACAACAAACTCTCATGTTAAGTAACCGCGGAAGGCGTCCTCGTCAGTTGCAACCGGTACGGATGCTAGAATGACACCACAGAGACCGGAACGGCGCCCTCGTTCTCTCGATCACCACCACCTACCTGCTGTCTACAACCTATTTAGCCCTAACTGGTACCACGTCCTTCGTTTCCCTCGTCCTCTCGCCGCAGAGCGCTCAAGTTGTGGACGTTAGCCTGATGACCAACATGGTGGTGATCCTCTGCTTGACGGAGGTGAGGCGAAGAGGCATCTGCCCGATTGACGGTGGCTTGGGAAATCAATTCGTCTCCTTGAGAAGCTGGAAACGGACGATTTCCTCAACGTCCACGGGGGAGGTTGGGCCCTTCGTCTCATGCTAGTTGGGGGCTTTGACCTTGCCGAGGTGTTGACAATGACTCAGTCATGATCGGGTCATCACTGAGTCATGCCCCCAGTCGTGATCGGGTCATGATGATCATCACGATCACGAGCTACCCACATATGGGGTGTTTTGATTGGACGAACAAGTTCTTCCGGCATCTACCACACAATCAAGTATCAGCGATGAAACAGGCAGCTTTGTTGCAGCTGTCTCTAGTTAGCCTATAGGACGAGTGATGATTTGTCGGCCCGGGATTGTCCGTGAAAACGCAGGTAGAATTTTTTCTTTCGCCTCTACGGCGGTAGGAGATACACAAGCACGCCAACACTGCTGTCCAACTCCCACACCCGACGCGACGCCCCTCCGCCTCATGAGTGCGTTTGCTGAAAGAGCAGAGTGTTTTGTCTCACGCAAGACCACCTCCCCCGCGCCATCCCATATAAACCGTTGTAATTTTTTACGCCCGTTTTCCTGTACTATAATACCATGCTTCCTTCTGAACCCGCCACCAGAAGTAAGGTGTCACCACGTTTGTACTCCCTGACCTACTATTTCAACCTCTTTGTGTGGAACCGTCCTTCCTATTTTGAGATTGCCCTGCCTCTGGGTTTTACTAGCTGCTGGAAGGCGTGCTCCCTTGAGCTCTGCTCGTGGTCCTCTTCCTCGAAAGAAGGGCCGTCGGACTTGGAGACAGCGGTGACAGCGGATGGCACCACCACCGCTAGCGGAACCATGATGAACAACCACAACAACCACAACAACAGAATCGTGCCCGTGGAAGTGTCATCCGTGGTGCCAGTGTCATCGCAGGTGACGCAAGATAGTGGATAGTCTACATGCGTGCCGCTAAGAGGGCTCAGCCACGTAGAGACATGCGGGCAATTTGGTTTGTAGAGAGTCTGGTAGAAGGGAGGTTAGCTGTACCCCGCCGCTTGTCGAAGGCTTGGAGTTTAGCAACGGAGTAGTCGAGATTGTTTTGTTCTGTGACGTTGTGGCATTGTGTTTTTTTTTATTTTTCTTAGTATGACACTACGAATCCATCTCTATCATAGAAAAGAGTCTGAGACAGATTCGCAATGAATTCATAGCGTCAGAAAGTACCTATATGTCTACGATTTCCCAGACAGCATATAGGGACATCTCCCCTTTTTTTGATCGTATGTGATATTTTCTGTGATGTCCGGTTGTTTCTGTCTGCATTGATAGATTCGTCATTTTTGTTTATCTTGTTCTGTTCTGTTCTGTTCTGTTTTGCTGTCCGTGTGACTTTGGGTAGTCTGACTTGTCGAGTGTTTTGGTTGCCCTCTACCTCGTGTTCTGTGATGTGGCGTTGTGTTCTGTTGCCGGGTTTCGTCATTACTAGTGCCTTTTGTTTTGTTCGGTTCATTTAGGTGCTGGTCTGTTATGTTTTTCTCCGTGCGACTTTGCGTACTAGTTCAATTTTTGACGTTTTTCGGTCATGAACTCCGCTTGTTCTTTGATATTGTGCTGTGTTCTGCCGGCAGGGATTGATCTGTTTAGTTCATTTTTTCTTTGGCCTGCTCTGTTGCTCTCTCTGTGAGACTTTGGGTATTTCAAGTTCTTGTGGGTTTTCAGGTGCGCTCTACCTCTTGCTTACCGGTTGTTTGTGGCCTACTACTTGTATATTCGACTGGGCCATTGTTTGCGCTTGGCCCTACTAGTGCCCCCGCTGCGAAGGCGAGGTACGCGAGCGAGGAAATCATTTGCGGTGCATGGCAGCTACCAAAGTTGCACTTGAATGTTGAATCCGAGCTCTAGGACCATTTTGCTGAAAACACGGGAAGCTGAATCAAAACCTGTTGGAATTTTATTTTTCGGTGTTTTTTCTGTACCTTAGAATTGACTGCGGCGCGAAAACACTTGGAGAAATAAGTGTGGGTTCGTTGTGGGATACCTGGCCTCTGATGCTCAAACATCAACCATTACCGTAACGTGCTCACCTGGAACATACCGCTTTCGACAATATACATGATGAGTTGAGCGGGTTATCGTGAGTGCTCAGACCAGGGTTCGCGTCATGTTTTTTTACGCGGTTGGACGGTGTAAACATAGATTTGTTGCGTCATTTCGTTCCTCGTTTCATGACCTTCCATTGCGGTTGTTGAGTGTGAAGCTCGTCCTTTCGTAGCATTTTCGTCATTTTAGGGAGAATCATCTCATCTCGGCAAGGCTTGTGGTGCCTGTCGTGTAGATGTGGAAGTAGGCGCGCTCCAGTAGCTGGGGCTTCATCCGTACGATTGTAAATCGAAGGCATCTCCCAGCTTGGGGCGTTTCCTTTTTGATTGGTTTCTGTGGTGTTTTGGATTCTGAAATTTTCGCCTTGACGATCCCTTTCAGGATTCACGACGGTGATGGCTGGTTTGGTTGTAACAAACGGCGAACTGCATCTCTCGGTTACCTATTCCGCCCAGGTGTTTTCTGTCTGTTTCTTTGTTCTATCTCTGTCCAGTACCAAGATGCCGTGTCAACCAAGTAGGGTTTGCGTGAACGCCCCTTCGGAAGCGTAGCCCGGCTGTCTCGTAGGCCTACTTGTGTTGAAAGTTTATTTCTTGGTGTTTTTACGGTCGTCTAGTGTTTGATGAAACTGGAAGAACCTGCTTGTGCGCTCATTGGCACAGGGGCATGGCGTGATGGTCGTTATGGTTTGTACATCGTAGCAATAGCTCGGATTCGGAACATATTCTTTTATTGTTACAAGTTGGGCAGAGGGATGCTTAGTTTTTTGGAGAAGCCCTCGGGGCCTTAGTCTTGGGGTGTACGATATCTATCACGACACATCATATCTCAGAGTCACGGGGGGTCGGACGCTGAAGGGACTTTTTTGAGTGTTGAATTCGCATCGACGGAGCATTTGCCGGCTGGCCAGTGAAACTATCTCGAGTCTGGCTAGCGGGAGATAAACGTGGCGCGAAAACTCCCTCTAGCTAGCCATTGGGGCCTAGCCCCCGGCAGCAAGCACGAGGGGCAGGGTTAGCGTTAGGATGGGCGATGGGGAGGGAGGGGCCAGCCTCGGAAGCCCCACGTAGCATGTGGAGAGGAGACGGGTCGACACCACCGCGTACTGTAGTATTCCTGCTATTGCGTTTCTGCTCCTCCAGTGCTAGACAGCATTCGCCCTGAATGGTGCTTTCTAATTTGGTTTTTTGTCATTGGGTGTGCCACGTGGGCTCTGCTGCGCGTGCGTGTGCGTGCGCGCGCGAGTATTTAATGTGGGGTTTTGTGTCAGTGCCCCTCCCCTCCTGTTTTCAAACTCAGCTGCTGGTATTTAATAGAGAGGTAATCAATCCACGGGGGGGGGGGCGACTAAGGGAACGCCAGGCACGGGTGATCGGGGACCAGGCTTGCCCTCGTCGGCGATATGCCACCCAGAGAGATTTGCGGCGTTCTTGAGAGCAGTACGTACGTACATAGTTTTTTTCTACAGGATAAGATTTTTTAGTAGTTTGAGGGTTCCTTTCTTCCGTTGCATTGGAAATACTTCACTTTCGTCTCCAGTTGTCTTTCTTTTTTTTGTCAAGGATCTTGCGTTCTTCCCGAGTGCTTGGTGGGAAATTCTCTCGGTTGATTTTTCATAAGTATTGTTCGGTACGCGAATAGGTCGGACCGCACGATTCACAATAGTACCATACATTTTTTTTTCGTAAATCATCGTTCGTTCTTGACGGGAATCGGAAAGATAGATGCTTGGTAACATTTGCCAGAACGCGTTTGTGCATACAACAACTAGTAGCACGTAAGTCTGTCTCGTCGGAGGAGTCTGCGCGAAATCCGGCGCGAAACGTAGCAAAAAATAACGCGCTGATCAATATTCTATTCTTTGAGCGAAGGTCGGGATCAAACTGCCTTGTTCGCATTCTTCTCTCGGAAGGGATCGGAATGGGATGCTAACTGTACGCACATTGAGATATATCTCCTACTTCGTACATGTTTGGCAACGGAAAGTCGCAACGAACTACGTCCCGACTAGGGGAACAAGGGTTCCCGGGTAATGGGGGGACATGTAGCCGGAGACGAGGGGTTTCAACACTACCATGAACAGGCGGGTAGCCGACACAACCATGAGTATATATGCGGGTAGATCCTGTCGAGAAGTAAGTGCCCACACGGAAGGCATCGGCGCCAGTCGGACCGGTACGGGTGGTGCAAGGTATACCGTAGTCTGCCGAGCAGCGATTTGAACGATGATTACCGTGAATAACAAGTGTTCTCACCCTCCCACAAACCGGGCACACCTCTTGCCATCGGTGTACTGGTGATCATCTCTTGACCAGTCGGTCGTGAGCTGGCCACGCACTGCACGCGTGATTTGTCGTTCACGACGTGTGGACTCTGACAAAAGACAAGCCCACGAGTGGGTTCCAACGAGGACCTTTTCAGGTCATTATATATGAGATTCTCGATTGATTGTTGGTTGCGTCAGATACACCTCGACTGTTCTTCTGTCCAATTAAACCTTCATTTGTATGAAGGAGGGAAACTTCACCCCTCCCTACGATGCGTTCGGCGCGTCGCCGCCTGTTCCGACCGCGAAGAGTCCACCCCGGCTTCGCGGCCTTGCCGGAACGCGCACCGAACCCGGGGCTAGGGCGGATGAAGCTAGGGTTAGGGTTACGCCTAGCCTCATTCAAATTCGACAGGGTACCCGCTCGCTCGGGATCAACATGGCACAGACAGGTAGTTCTCAACCCCACCCACAGGTCATGTGGCAGGCAACAGCCGACCTCGAAATGGGAGGACAAGGGGGGGGAGGCTCCACGAAGACGATGGATGCCATAACCTCACGCCGCGGCCACCCGCGGGCCACCGACCTAGCCTTTTTAGCACGCACAACATGATCCAAATTCGTTTGCCTTCCGTCTTCTGCTATTTCGTGTCAAATGTCAAGCCTGTTTGAGTTGTGATTTTTCCGACTACCCAATAATACCCGTTCGTCTGATTTTTCGCAGCATGGAAATGTGTATTCTAACCTTTTTTGGTAGTTGGCCTGTGACCACGGAGGAAGTCGTCCCCGCGTCAGTTAACCTAGATCACGGATGTTAGGAGGTACATGGCAGAGACCGGAACGGTTTTTGATGTGAACACAGCAACAACCCTTTTTGGGTAATTGCCATACTTAACCCTGTGACCACAGAGGGGAGACGTCCGCGTCAGTTGCACCACAAAGACATGCGCTATCATTGAAGGCCCTAGGCAAGGATATGAACGGGTTTGATTCTGAGGATACTCCAAGAACCTTTCAGCTACCCTGGTAGCCTTTCTCACCGCAGTCAAAGACGGGCCCAACATGCTTAAAAAAAGCAGGCTTAGCAGTAGCTAGTTCTTTCCGGGGACACTAGATTGATTCGCGGATGGGTGCCGCTCCTTACGCTCTCCCTAGGATTAATATCGTGAGTCTGTATACAGAGTATGATAGTCCACACCTTGCACTCGATTGAAATGTATCTCTATAACAAATACGCACATTTATCCATACATTCTGAAGGCCCTATCGGCACTTTCAGCTCTTGTTTCCGGTTCCCTCACCCACCAAATGAACCCGAGGCAGCGATGTACCTACGGCGCATCTCTGTACACGCAACCTACTACGACACACAAATACACATTAGCGTATCATTTCCTGTCGACATTACAAAGCAAAAAAAATAGTCACCCATGTATTCGTCCTTCCGGTGAGGAGCCCGCGGACTGCTGCAGAATCACGTTCCTTCGTGTTTTTCATGCCGGTATCCCGTTACAAGACTGATCGACCTTTCTCGTCATTAATATACTCGCCAGTTAGAGCAGTCGAAGCTACCACCCCAGTCAAACACGCACCTCATTACACATCCATATAAGCAACAAACTTAGGCTTATGGTTTCGGAGTGGCGACCCTTTCCAATGCCAGCGTCGCGGTGCTCCTCTTGTCCCACACTTGTCTTGTCCTCCTTAACGAACATGTGTGTGCCTTCGCGGCACCAAAGTATCACGCGGGTTTCCCTCATATACGGGCCTAGATCAACTGCACCAGTAGTGCCATCGCGAGCGAAAACGCCAAGCAAGGCATCGATCGTCAACTGACAACACGAAACAACAGCACAGGCAAAAATGATTCAATCCCAACGAAGCCCGAACTTTCGCGGGATTGACATGGATTACCCTTTCGTGATGTCATCTTATGACGACACCATCCTCCGTACTATTCCCGTGCGCTGACCGGCCTCCCACAACCTTCCTCCCAATGCTGCCACAGCTAGCTGCATTTCACCCTCGAAGCATTTTCATATCTGGTGAGCGGTAAGGGGCGGACACCGCGTCCTGCGAAGTGGGCGCATCCACAGCGGATTTCTCTTTCAGGCGGGGGCGGTCCCGCACGGCCCCCCACCCATGCAAGACATCATATTTGCTATAGCCGCGTCCACGTCGGTCTGCTCCTTGTTGTCACCGTACTGACCCCAGAAAGTGAACTTGCAGTTGTCGTCGACGTGCCCAATCGCGTGTTCGTGCTGCACAACGGTGAAGTTAAAGGGGTAGTCGAAGCGCGGGTCCGGCAGGCCCAGGCTGCGCCCGTCGCTTGTGGTCACCGTCTCAAGATAGCGCACGGACGCCGTGTTAGGGGCGGGGTTGTTGGTGAACTTGACGTCGAAAGAAATGTCGACGACGGAGAAGGCACCGGCCCACCACCCGGGGTCGGAAACTGGCCAAGGGCGGGAGGCACAGAGGCAAAGCGGACGAGCGAGGGGTTGGCGGAGCGAAGATCCGCGATGAAGGGCTACAGTAGTGCAAGCAGACTACTTGGGGTGGCGGGAGAATAAGGCTTCATTCGGATAGCAGCCTTGACTCCACTGTCGATTCACTGACGTTTCGTTTCCCTGTCGTCTCACTGTCGACGTTTGTACGGCAGAGCGTTCGATGCTCTTCGCAGGTTGTAGGTGCTGAACTACATAATAAGCGATCCGTTTTTGTCGGCACGCTCCAGGTCCGGTTAAACCATCCTTACGCCGTTTTGTCAGCCGTCTGGTGCACGGCATGGTGCACTTTCTTCCGTGCAGCATATTCTCTGTTCATTTCACACGAAAAAAGGACTGCTCGTCGACATGTTGCTGCACACACGTCCTCTTCCCTGCCTCGAGACACGCTAGTGATTCTCTCAAAGCAGTTTAGTCTATTGGGGAAGAGCCAAAAGTGTGTCAGCCAATCCATCCGCCATACCGGGGGACTTGCATTGTGATACTGGGCGGGAATAGTGCGGGAAACCGTTCGTTCCGGTCTGGAAAAACCCTGCACGTCTTGCCGCGAATGATTGACTGCGATTATTTCACAAAAATTCTCGCTATCGCGAACTAAGGCAAGGGGAGGAGTGAGTGCGGCTCTCATATGCTTCTACCCTCCTCCTTCGAGTAGATGTAGTTCAGATGTTCTTCATCGATTCCATGGATGAGTGATGGGTGTCTGTCTTCATTTGGCTGTCGTTGGAGAGTACTTTTTCGGCACCAGCACCATCATCAGTACCTACGTGTAGCGAGGCGACAGACCAAAAACGGTGCGATTTTCTGGCAGATCATATCATTGTGCGTGCGTGCGTGTAGCCTCAGCACCCGACCCGCAGATGCAACTACCTTGCTGAGTCGTGTGACGTCACTAATAATTGCCTATACAGTAGTCAAACCATATGTTTTTTTCCGCGTTGTTGGCCCTGAAAGGTAAACTACGCTGGGGTGCAGCAAGCCCGTGCTGGGCGTTACTTGGGACACTGGGTAGTCGGCCGTGTTAGGCCGAGAGAGAGAGAGATTGAGGTGGCGTTGGAGTAAGCGTTGGAGAAGGAAACTTGATTGGAGAGAGCGACGGCGGTAGCGGTGGAGAGAGAGGAAGTGAGCTGCACGCACGCAAGCCTCATCACATCCGCCACGCCAAAAGGGTCCCCGTGACTGCACCGGTGGTACCCCACAACACACGAAATTCCCAACACGTATCCCCCTGGGATCCTCACGACCAGATACTGTTGCGAGTATATCTAACATCCCCCCTGCTCGCAACAGTTTCTCACTAAAAACTTTGCTAACATCTGATATCTCAACCAAAAGACGTATTTTCCAGAATAATATGCCATCAAGATCATGCCAAAATATGAGAGAGAAAACCAATTCAAAGAAACATACATGCTGCATCGCGCGTAACGAATACTTGGCGCGGAAAACGAAACAAAACCAAAATAAACTCATCAGACACACAACACTCATGCCAAATTCATCACAAAATCACGGTGAGACTCAAAAGCATCCTTCGACAAACTCTTCGTGAGAAAGTCTGCACGCTGGTACGGTGACGGCACGTGGATTACCGAAATTTCCTTCCTCTCTACCAGTTCCCGGAGAAAATGGTGCCTTACATCTATGTGCTTCGAGTTCGAGTTCGAGATGGGGTTCTGCGCTAGTTGAATCGCCCCCTGGTTGTCCTCGAATATTGGGATGCACGGCATGCCAACCTGTGGCAGCATGAAACGCCAAACCTGCCTCAAAAACAAAACCTCCTTCACTACATCACCAAGCGCGACGTACTCTGCTTCTGTCGTCGAAAGCGTAACGCACTTTTGCGTTCTGGAAAACCAAGACACGGCGCCTCCTCCACACGTCACCATGCCCCCTGATACCGACCTACGGTCTGCTGCCTTGCTTGCAAAGTCCGCATCAGCGTACCCCTGCAAGCTGAATCCCTCTACCGTACCTCTCTGATATGAAATACCAAGTGACTCGTCCTCCCCGCATACCCTAAAATACCTATCGCTGCATCCCAGTGGACCTGCTTCGGAGATGCGCAATACCTCGCTACTGCCCTTACAGCATTCGCAATGTCTGGTCTAGTCTGAGTCGCCAGCCACATCAAAGATCCGACTGGCTCACGAAACGGAAAGTCTGTCTCTACCTCATCCGCATCAAAATCAGAAAGCTTCACTCCCGAAGACATCGGAACGCTCTTACCCCCGACTATTCCATACTCTGCTGCTAGCTCATCCGTGAAAGTCTGCTGAGAAATCGTCAACCTACCAGTATCCTTGTTCCTCTCGAAAAAGCAGCCAGAATACCATCTCAACTCTCCCCAGGTTCTTCACCGGCACAGACTTGTTGAGGTCAGCGCCAAACTTGCCACATCTCTCCCTCTCTCCGACAGCAAAAATATCATCTACATGTACTATAATACCAAGATCAAAACAACACACCCATCCTCAATCAATCGAAACACACAAGCATCGGCCAAACACTGCTCAAATCCCAATGCTATCAAACACCTCTTTAGCATTGCATGCCACTGCTTAGATGCCTGCCTCAAGCCATACAGAATCTTGCCAAATTTTACAATCATTCCAGATAGAGCTCCACATCCCTGCGGTAGGCGCATGTACACGTCTTCCTCCAACTCCGAACGCACAAAAGCTTGCTCAATATCGAAATGACACAGGTCGAGGTTAAACTCGCACGCCAAAGCAGCCAACATCCTAACATACGAAACAGAAACGGTAGGCGCGTACAACTCTCCAAAGTCAATGTACTCTCTCTGCATATCATCTCTCGCTACAAGTCTCGACTTAACCTTGGTGGGCCACCCAAACTCATCTGCCTTCCAATCGAATACCCACTTAGCGTTAATTGCATTCTCCACTAATTGCTACTTTGCCGGAGTAAAAGTCCCCGCTTCCAACAAGCCGTAAAACTCCCTTTGCATGGAGTCGCTCCAGAGGTGTCGGTGCTCCGACGCCATGGCCTCGTTGTAGCTCTTTGGAACACGAAGGTCGCTAGCCTGGCAGTGCGGAAGGTCAGGGCGTTGCTCCGGCGGGCGCTGGTCTCGCAGCATGGCGTCAATGTCTTCCCGGTTGGCGAGAAGCGTGGCAAATGCAAGTGGGAAGCCAGCTCCTCCAGCCCCCGGGTCGACCGCTGCGAGTGCTCCCGCCTGCTCTCCTCCCCCCGCTCCCCCCGGCTCCCTGCGCTCCTCGTCCACCGCGCTCCGAGTCTCCAACATCGACACCAGAGTATTCTTGTCTAGCATCGAGATGAGACCTGTGCTGTGCCTGGTCCCCGATCTTGTGCGGCTCGGCAGCCGCGGGTCTGTCATACCCTCGGCCTTCTTACCCGAGCGAAGCTGCCGCATGGCGTGAGCCGTAAGCAGGGGCATCGCGTGGTCCGGCGGCGGCGGCTGGGCTGAATCGGGAGTCGCCGACGGTGATGTCGAGGCGGCAGAAGGCGGAGCTGGAGCGGGAGCTGGAGCGGGAGCTGGAGCGGATGATGGCGTGGGCGCTGGCGGCGGCGTGGCGACGATCGAAGGCTTTGGAGCGGGCGCGTTAGCTGGAGCGGGCGCCGGCGTGGGCGCTGGCGGCGGCGTGGCGGCGGTCGAAGGCGTCGGGACTGGGCCAAAGTTGATCGAGACGACCGGCGGCGTGAACGGGGGGTGCGTCGGCGCAGCGGTGATACCAGCGGAACCCCCCTCGCCGGCAGGCGCCGACGTCACCCACGATACGTTGTTGGTGTAGACGACGCGGCCGGTGGACGCCTTGAGGACCTTGACGGTGCCGCTCGGGTGGTTGTCCCCGCCGTTCAGGTAGTAGCCGAGGGTGGCCTGGTCGTCGAGCTTAGTGCGGCGATCCTCACGCATGAAGCCGGGCTGGAAGAACCTCAGCACGCGGAACGGCCCCTGCTCGCCGGTGAACATCTCGAGCGGCGAGCATCGCCCGGGGTTGGCCTTGGTCGCCGACTGGTTGAGAGCGTCGGCGGCCCACTTCGCTGATTCCATCCAAAGACGGTCACCGCGCTGGTCGAGGCCGGGGATGGAGGCGAAGTCGACGTTGAACACACGGCCAGCGCTGCGGCGGGCGGCCATGCCGGCCTTCATAATCCGCCAGATGGCGCTCTCGACGACGCCGTTGTACTTCGGAGTGCCAGGCGGGGTGAACTCGACGCCGATGCCGTTGTCGTCGCAGAATTGCCGGAAGTCGCCACGGGTCCACTCGGTGCCGTTGTCGACGCGGAAACACTCGATGCGCCCGAGGTCGTACCGCCCCACGTCCGCCAGCAGCCTTTTCGTTGCCGCCAGCGCGTCGGACTTCCGCCGGAGACCGTAGACCTTGTTCCACCGCGAGGCGCTGTCGACGGCGACGAACAGGTAGAGGTTGCCGCCCAGGGAAGGCACAAGCGGTCCACACAAGTCCAGGTGAACACGCCCGAGTGGCTTGAACGCCCGCGCTCCCGGCCCCCGCGGCACCGACGCTCGCCTGCCCTTCGCCTTCATGCAGTCCGTGCACGGTTCCAGCTCGCCTGTGAGAGTGATGCCCCTCTGCCGAGCAGTTTCTCTCAATAGCGGTTCACAAGCGTGTGCGAGGGAACGGTGGAAGCGGTTGATGTCCACGGACTGATCGGTTGAACCAAGAGCAAAGGGGGACGCACCAGGGCCAAGCGCGGCCGCACCCAAGTCAAAATCAGCACCCCCATCAATATCATCCAAAACAGCAGCCACACGCGCAGCATCAGTCTCAGGGATAAACGCGGGGAAAAACTCTTGATACGGGGTGTCATCATAGCCATCCATGAGCTGCTCGTCGGTGAGCACACTCGTATCTCCAAGATCCATACCCGGAAAAGTACCCACACACACAAACTCGGACGCCGAAGAAGGTACTACGCCGGCAGAGCCGGCGGGCGGGACGCTCTC